TGATGATCCACTGATCTACCAATGCTGCGCGCAATTATGAGCATGAGCGTGTCTGATGCAGTTAGTGTGTTGAATGGCACCAGTTGTTTGTTCTGGAATAAATGGCAAGCATTTGAGCGGCAGTCAACGGCATGCTTTCTAAAAAGCCCGGCGTCTGGAACCAAGCACGCATGCACGCCGTAGGAAGCATTTGTTCCGCAAGATGCCTTTGTTACGCAAGATTCTCAACAGGGAATGCAATGGCTGGAAAGCGCACACATAAATGCAATTGTACTCTTCCCAAATTTCAAAGTCGGAGAGTCCTGCCTAGCAGGACAAGCATGCAGATGCGAAGAAAACTGGGTGCATGCCTGGCCAGGCCGAGTGACGCTCAGATTGACCGCTCTTGTAAGAGCATATAGCATGGAAGATGCGATTGGAGTTCAGTGAGATGGCCAAGCAGTCCTTAGCTGCCTTATCTCTTGCTTTGTAGACATTGTAGACGCCGCTCTCTGTTTGGGGCTGGAAGTGCTCCATTCCTAGCAACTTGTCGTCATTGTCGTTTGCATTCCCATGCAGGATGCCCTCTGGAAGGCAGTGAGATGCAGTGAGGCCCAACATGGTCAACAACTCTCGAAGAGATCATGGTTGCAGCAAGCCTTTCAGCTGCCGGCGGCTACCGCCAGAAATGTGAGGTTTGGGGTTGTAGTGCTTTTAGATGCATGTCGACAACCGCCTTCAAATCCAGCAGCACTCGTGTCTGGGGCTTGCGCCACTTGAGCCAACCCCAATGCCTAAACTTGCCCAAATGCTTATGTTGCATGCGCAGGTGAAAATCGACCTCCAAGGCCTTTGCGGTCGAAGCCCTCGAGAAGGCTGCCACCACACGAACAAAATGCGGAGAACCATGAGAAACGTTAAATTTGAGAACCGCTCGTGCAACCACTCGTGTAGCCCGTGTAACACCGTAACACCCTTTCGAAACACGCAGGGCAGAGAGAGGGGGAACATTGAACACAAAACACAAGTCAAGGGTCGGGCACGTGCTTTTCAGGCCGATGGGCTGCAGCTGCCATGACCGCATTTCAGTGGGGCACGACATGTTACTATCGCATGCTCTTTGCCAAATTCGCGGTCCAGTCTCCGGCGGAGTTAAATCGGCTGCCAAATGCTCTGGGATTCAGGGTTCGCGGGCCCTCCGCGACAAAGGCTTGCAAAAGAAGTGTCGGTTCTGCGACAACCCCCGGTGCGCTAACAAAGCCTTTCAGTACATAAGGCCCCTCAACATTCTGATTCCCAATTTGTTTGCATGTGATGCATGTCTGCTGTGCGCGTGAGGGCTTCAAATTCCTTATTTCCGATGCCATTCCGCGACACCCCCTGCATCAACTTCAGCTCATCCCCGCAGTTGCCCGTCCGTTACAATCCACATCTTTCAAGCACAGCTTTGCATTTCGCCATGCCTGGGAAGACGCCCAAAGACCCAGAGAATGTACTCGAAAGCATTCGAAACCCCCAAGGCAATGTCTAGCAGACTCTCGCAAGGGTTTAGCATTTAGGCCCCTAAATCTTGAACTTTGAAGGAAGGCTCCCAAAAGCCGCGCGTCAAGGGTCTGAAAATGGTTGAAACAAGCTGCCGCGACCAGGGGTTGCAGCTGGGGGCAGGCGGGGCCCTGTAACAAAGGGGGTTTCGGGCCACAGCTGAGGAGTCCATCTGACTTGCAAGCACATTCTGCTCTCTTGTGCTGACTGATGGAATCAGGACTGATTGCATCAGTTCGATGTTCGTTCGCGTGTATCAATTTGTGGTAAACGTGGCGACACGTAATGGAGCTTGGTTGCGGACAGTAAACTTTGAGCCCGTTGGTCATGTATCGTATACTTGTCACTTGGACGCGGTCAGGGGCCAAAAGTAGCGCGCCGCGCGCAATTCTCTCCCCTCGGTGGGTGCCCTTCTGAGTGCCATGGAGATCTGGCACTTTCATTTTTAGACGAGGGTGCCACTTTGGAGCAATCTGTTTTGTGACTTAACTTGGGCCCAAATCGTGTGATAGTGGGATGGTTTGGGGGTGTCACACCGCACTTGCCCCGAGTTGCAGTGAAGAAGAAAGTATCTTCGAGAAAGCCAGTTGCCTCCGCTCGGCCTTCCGTCCATCAAAAGCCTCTTCACCTTGTGCTCTCTTAAATTTAATGCCGGCTTCTTGTAGAGAAATCCATCTTGCCAGAAATGTTGGTCAGCAGTCTCCTCAGTTGCGATGACGGGTTCCGAAAACTCCTGGTCAACCGTATCTTTTCATGAACAGAAGCTTCTCGTAGCCGACACGGAGCTTGTCGGCTCTGCAGCAAAGCGCCGTCACAAAATTGCCCGCTCGCACTGTGCTGAACCACCAACATGGTGAAGCTAACTCACGGCACTGGCAAGTAGTCAGGGCATCTGCCAGCGTTTAGCTTTGTAGCGGTGGGGCCTGGGGCCTCCGCGACAAGGGGCTTTGAGCCATGTATCAAGTTGGTCAAAGAGGGCCAGCTGCGCTCTCCTGGCACGTACGTGTATTGTGCCTTCCCGGCACTTGTACTGTTTCTTGTCAACGTAGGATGCCAGACATGAGAGGCAGGCAGGTCAAAAGGCGCGAGTCTTGTACCGCGACAGCTCTTTCGGGAAGTTCCTTGATTGAAAACAATGCTGAGTTGGTAGCGCAAGCCGGATGCGCAGACGGATTTCGCCCAGGGAGCTGCACGTGGCACTCCATTCATGGACAAACGCAGCAAGATAGCACAATGGGATCATGGATCGCAAGTAAGTCTCAGCCTTCGTGGGAGATGGCCTTCATGCGCATAGCACTCAGTTTTGCTGAAGGCTTCTGAGGGCAAGTTCTGCATGAATATCGAAACCCTTCGGCGAAGGTTCGTTCTGTTGAATGCTCGCCGGCCACAACCCCATGACCCGTCCCCCTTTGTTTTCTCTTCATCGCTAATAACGACACGGTTTCGGAGCTTGCGTTGAACAGCTGAGCCATCGTGCCTTGCGTGTTCCTTGCACAAGTTGGGTTCACGGGGAAGGGATCATTGTGGGGTATGGGTGCAGGCACCGCAAGAAAGTGGACAAGATCATGCAAGTTTGTCCAGTTTCTTGCAACGATTTGTCTGTGTCGACACCACGCGCCATAAATTGTTTGCCTTCCTGCGCGTAGGGCGGCCCATGTTCATTCCCTTTCATCCCCGTATCTCGGTGACAACATGCCTGGGCTAGGGCCTTGTCGCAGCCACATTTCCAGGACCAAGCCGAAGGCTGCACCCATATTGTTCCTTTTGCCTGCTGATCCTGCAGCATCTGGCGTCACGAAAGCTCTCCGATCTCCCCATACAGCTTCTCGTTTCAATAGTCAGATTCCCATACACCCCACAGACAAATCAGGGTCCTTTGTTTGCAGCCTGCAGCCAAGTCGGAGTCTTGAACCTTGGGCTGCCGGCTTCCAGCTAGCGACCTTTAGGCAGGCAGGATGACATGGTGTCGCAGGATCCCTTTCAGGCCAAAAGCACATGGCACCATACCGGCCAGATTCGGCAATCGTCGTTGCTCCGCTCTGCGCCTGGTACTGTAGCACGGCAGAATGCCGCATCGTGACATACCACACCATGTCACTCCTGTTGCGGGTTCCACTAGAGTCTTCGCCCCTCCTCGGGGCTCAAGTGTCTACCGCGCACAAAGGGGCCGCTGCGCAAAGCCTGTCGCCGCAGAGCAGGTTTAGGTTTTGTGTATCGCGCTGGAGTGCATGAAAGCACGGTCGCAAGCTCTGGGACCAGCTGGGTTAGGGCGGTGCTGGCAGATTGTTTGCAACTGACACCGCGGCATTCTGCATCCATTCGCAAGAACCTGCGCCTATAGCACGCAATTAGCGTGCTACTTCACTTGTTCCATGCATGGGGCGCTTCGATCGCTGTCTACAGGGCGCAGGCTACATCCGCTCAAAGTTCGGGCAGTGCCACATTTGAAGCCACGTCAGCGAAGGTCACTTTGGCGGCTATGGCAGGGATGACACGGCAAGCAATGGCAAGCCATCGAACTAGCCAAGCCCGAGGGCTCCCTGTCCCGGCCCGCAAAAACAGGGACATCAACTCTTCACATAGAATTGCGCTCACTTTCAAGAGCCGATGGTATCTACAGGAGTGTGCAGCACTAGGTGCTGGAAGGCAACGTAGCTGTGTGCTGCAATCCATGCAGTGACTTGTGTCAGCTTAATGCCTCTTGCTGCGCGCTTTCACCGAGCGGCCGGGTTCCAGAGGTTTGGCAGCGCGCCATGAGAAGACGTCGCCGACGGCGAAAGCAGCCAAGAGAAAGTCAACAGGTTCCTCCGCGTCCAGAAGCGATCTTGAAGATGGAGTTGCCAGTTCTGCAAGCAAGGCCTTGCACGAACCGTTGCCGATGTTGCCATCGCTCCAGATACCCAATGGCCACACGGCCGCCGATAATGAGACTTTGGACGGAGCCACAAAGCCTTTGCAAAAGAACGTGCCGTCGTTGGAAGGGGGTTGCACCACGATTATGGCTTCATACGCTGGGCACCTCAAACAAATACAAGTACATGAAGATATGCTGTCATTGAACTCGACGTAGTCCCACTCGTGAACTCGCCAAGTTTTGGAGTAGGAGTGAAATCATGTTCATGGTAGCCCGTGGCAGGAGTAGTTTTTCCTTTCTTGGGCCCTTTGGATTAGAGATGCGCTTCCCTGGGGAAATCCTACACCTGGCTCGAAAGCCTGAGCAATGTGGTGCCTCAAGCCCCCACCAAACCTTTCTCGGCGAAGAGCACCGCACCAACCCAACACGTAGAGGCAGGAGCCCCTGAACATCCTACCCATCAAAGCATCATCAAAGCCTTAGACGGCTCAAGTTTTTCAAGCCCCAAGCACCCTACAAGCCCTGTGTTTTGGGGCTGAGGGTTCACGACTTGGGCGTTAAAATTCTTCCTAAACAAACATCAAAAGACGACGGCCAGCTTCACAGACCTCGTAGTGAGAGCCCCATGGCTGTGAGTGATGGCCTCGAAGTTGGAAGTCAGTGGGATGATGCAGTCAACGATGAGTCTTGCTCAGACGTAAGGGTTTAGGGGGCTTAGGGGTTTAGTGGAACTATGGGGTTCAGTGTTGAGTTGAGACTATAGGGAACTTGTATTCTTGTATCTTCTTTGTTTTGCAAGCAAACCAGACAGCTCAACCTTGTCATTGCCTGGAATTTGGAGAAGTAAGGATGTCCCAGCAGACCGGCCAACGCGGTTTCTTGGGTCAGTGAAACTATCCATGTGTAGCTCCCTGTACAGGTCCTCCCTCCAGCTTGTTTCTTCGAGTCCGAGGCCCTTTAGTATTAACACTTGGATGGAATGAACTAAGGTTTGCCAACGATGCACCTGCTTGGCCAGTGAAATCTGAGAAACTTATTTCACCAGCGAGCTCCCTGGCAGAGGATCGGCGCTTCAAGAAGATGGAAGAATTAGAGCACATCGCCAGTTATATTTTCGAGATGGAAGTGGTTGACAAAGATCTGCTCCGAGCCACCTTGCCCTCAAGTGCCTTGCGCTGCTTCGGAAAAATCTTTCAGAAGGACCTCAAAGGCGACTTCTATCACATGAGCTTCCCTACGCAGACGATCCATTGCTTTTGGAGCCATTCATGGCACGGAACGGCCTGGACAAAGATCCTGCTCCGAGGATGCCCAGTGCTACCCTTATAAGCCTCATTCCTTTTCAGGGTGTTCCGAATACGTACCCCAAGTAACCTACAAGGGCGCTCTTTCTTCTCCTAGGTTGCTGGGGAACCAAGGCTCCTTTTGGTCTACTACAATGGGCGGGCTGCCCTGGTAGCCGGCTCGCTCTCTGCATTCCTTGGCGCAACCCTCTTCTTCTTCGGACTTCTACCAGGTGCCACAGCTGTTCAGTGCTCTTGTCTTGCTCTCGCTAGTGCAAGACAAGTACTAACCTGTGGAGCGTTCTGCTCAGCTTGCCCAGATCTCTCTGTCTCACTCTCGCTCACGCTCTTGCTCTCTCTCTCTCTCTCTCTCTCTCTCGCTCTCTCTCTCTCTCTCTCTCTCTCTTTCTTCACAATCCCAAAGCAACCCGAAAAGTCCTGTTGAAATTCCCCACCATAAGCCGCTAACCCTAAACCCTAAACTCTGGAGACGACTGGTTCTTACAGGATGTCCTGTTCACTGGGCTGGACGTGTGAAGGAGTCGATGTGCTTGTTTCAAACCCTGTCGAGAACGGCGAAAACATTTGCAGTTGTAGTCCTTAGACGAGCACTCACTGTTGCGATCCTCGTAAGTCTGCGTGGGCAGGGATGGAGACATTGTACAAGGGTGGTACTCCTTGTCTGTCTAAGCCTCAGGGAGGGGTTGAGCGTGTTTGTTGCTGCTGATTCCAGGGCTCGTGGTCATTTCCCTAGAGGCCCCTGAAGAAGGAACATTCTCCCTTTGACTTCTTAAGTTGGGCTCTTGGCACCATTTTCACTCTGCAAAGGCCCCGTGGAGCGACTGCTAGACGGGTGGCAAAAAGAAAAAGCAACCTGCCGCCAGGCGAGTGGCAACAAAAAACCTGCCGGATTCCCCAGGTACCCTGCGAGGCTTTTCTCTCGAGAGCGCCACCTACCAGTTTGGCCCCTGGGCGCTGGGCTTCGGTTGCCTCGTGTCCTGCATCTCGGGTTCGTCTTGAGCTAGAGGGCTACTGTGGGAACAGGTATTTCCATGAACTACCAATGTGATGTTTAATGGTTTTCTGTGTTTTTTTTATGGTCTTAAGGCTTGAAGGCAAGATAACCTAGAACAACGTCATAAGCAAAAACATTATCAAGTCTTGATAACCATAAACCTTTCTGAAGCCCTAAACCTGAACTCTTCACCCCCTCCCATTCTCTTCATGACTGCATGGGATCCTGTGTTGGGGCTGAAGGCTGGATCTTGAGCAGCCGCGGTGAAGGATACTTGAACTTAGCGCCTTAACCCTAAGCAGCTAGGCAGGGGCTGAGGCTTGGTGCTGCTGCTTTGGAAGCCTTCCGGATCCGTGTTCATGGATCGGATTTGCATTCATCAGATCGATGCGAAGAGGATCTTGAAAAGGTTTCCCTTTTTTTTGCTGGCAGTATTTCTTTGACAAAAGAAGGGGTCACATTTTCCCACGGTTCCAAGCACAGCTTAGGATGAGCATCTCAAGTTAGCCGGGATCTTGAGTATTGGTGGCTTCTTGAAGCACTCCGAGTCCATTCTGGTGCTTTTTGACCCAAGTTATCCGACAAGGCTTTGGACCATGTTCGAGCTTGCCGCTTTTTTGAAAGCTCATGAGGATGTTGCTGATGGCTTGATCATCCGACCAACTTTCCTAGGACCTGCTGCAGTGGGACTGTTTGTTTTCGATACTTTGCTCGCTATCTGCATCATCCTCGCTAGCTATGAAGAGATAGAACTAAACATTCTGGTGCTCGCGCTTGTGTTCTATTTCATCTTTGCTTCTGGCGGCCATTGGCTGCGCGGCTATTTCCGACAGATTGATGAATGCTTGGACAAGCTCAAAAGCTTTAGCCTGAAGGAAGCCACCTCGCAGTGTTGCACCATGAATCATCGAGATAATGAAGCTAGGCAAGCCCTTGGGATTCTTTTTTTGCTACCCTTATGACGTGTTTGTGAGGATGAGAAATTTGGGAACCCTGAAGCTTAAACCCTTAGGAAACATTTTCCAGAGGGTTCTTTCAGGGGGCCAACATAGGAAGGCAACACCATTCCTTGTGACCGAGAGACCATCAGGGAATGCATTCGCACCTGGTTTGGCAATGAGGCTCGGATTCCAGCAGTACCCTTATTCCGTTTAGGACTCCCAGCACTACCCTTTTTCCTTTTTTTGAGGGAAGGGGGATGGTTCTTGTCCCTTAGCCTATAAACCCCCAATTCACCAACGGGTGCTCCTTTCTCGTATGCAACTGCGAAACCAAGGAAGAGGAGTTTGAGGCCGCAGTAAGGTCTCGAGTATCTGCTGCCTTCATGAGAAGTTTAGGGCATTATGCTATACCCTTTTCCTGGTTCATGGGGGCGAGCCTGCCCGTGTTGTGGGCTTACGTCGACTTCATGGGCGCCAGGCTTCGCGAAGGGGAATTGTTCTACTCCTTGGTGAGCTTCCTCTACACTTTGATCGTTTGGTTGGGTTATGGGCCTTATGCCTACTTCATCAGCCTCGTGTTTGCTTACACGCTTCGAAAGAGATTTGCCAGTTGGTGCTTGGATTGGACCGTGACTTTGCTTGGGACCTGCTTCATGTTTTCCCTGGGCTGGCATGCATGCCATGCAGCTGGTGCTGCTAACACAGGCAGGCGACTTGCTGGGAATGATCTTGTGGGGTGTCCTGGTGGTATTGTGCGCTCTGTTTTGGCGAAGGCTTTGGTTCCGTGCCATAGCGAAGAAGCACACAGAAGAAGCATAGTTTCACAATTTGAGATCGTGGGCTGGGCACACAGACTTCCGGAAAAAGCTGCTGCTGCACACTCAAACTCAATATGAATATGGATGAAGAATCGAGTTCGGCTTCCAGAACAGTTATGATGGCGCCCCCTAAGCAAACTTCAAAGTCAATGGCCTACCGCCAAGGGTTCATTTAAGGGTTGGGTCCAAGGTGGGGGCGCTGCCGGATTTGGGATGCAGCAGCATTTAAGGTTCAGCCATACTGCCAGAGACAGCGAACGATACTTGCAGGTAAGGCTGGGACGGTTTTTGGTTTTGTTACTGTTCTGCTTCTGCAAGCAAGGAATATGCCTACCCTTCCAGGACGCTGTGTGTGTGTGTGTGTGTGTGGGTGCGTGCGCGTGCGTGTGCGAGTGCGTGTGCGTGTGCGTGTGCGCGTGCGTGTGCGTGTGCGTGTGCGCGTGCGCGTGCGCGTGCGCGTGCTCGTGCGCGTGCGCGCGCGCGTGTGGCCGCGGGCGTTTGCGGGAGGGGTGGTGCGTGCGGGAGTGTGAGTGAGGGCATGTGAAGTGCGGGGAGGTGCGTGCGGGCGTGTGGTGCGGTCGTGGCGAGGTGGGAGTGGGGGTGAGCTGGGCGTGTGCGTGTGCGTGTGGGTGTGTGTGTGTGGTGGTTGTGTGTGCGTGTGCTGGGTGTGCGTGTGCGTGTGCGCGTGCGCGTGCGTGTGCGTGTGCGTGCGCGTGCGCGTGTGCGTGTGCGTGTGCGTGTGCGTGTGCGTGCGTGCGTGCAATCTTGACAAGCATGCCTGGCCGTAAGCCTCCCACACAGTGCTGTGTGTGTGTGTGTGTGCGCGCGCACGCACTGTAGTTTGACCGTTTGCTCATCAAACCCTCATTGCACAAGGCGCAGTGGCTCCTGAGGCTTCAGATGCCGGCAGAAATCAGGCAGTTCAACGACTGCCCTATCAGCATACGTGATGTATATATAATTATTATTATTATTATTATTATTATTATTATTATTATTATTATTATTATTATTATTATTATTATTATTATTATGATTATTATTATTATATATATATATATATATATATTATACATATATATATATATGGACACACCCCCCCCCCCCATGACCCACCCAGATCTGTTTCCCTCGTAAATACCGTTTAACACCCGATCGTGCCCTATGCCGTTTTTTGCTACTCTCAGTGGCTGTCTCTCGACAAAACAGACCCCACACGGCCCACAAGACTGGACGCCGAGACGCGCGAGACCAAAAAACCAAAAAAAACCATCTTTTTTAGAGAATGGGGAGGGGATGTTGAAAAATATTGGTTTTTTGGTTTTGCCTCGTAAAAAGATAGTTTTCCATAGAAAAAACCAACTTTTCCCACGTAAAAAGATGGTTTTTGTCTGGACTGCCTCAGGAAAACCATCTTTTTGCGATGTAAAAGTTGGTTTTTGGCTCCAAAACCATCTTTTACGAGGCAAAACCAAAAAACCAAAAAAACCATCTTTTTTTAGAGAATGGGGAGAGGATGTTGAAAAAGATGGTTTTTGGTTTTGCCTCGCAAAAAGATAGTTTTCCATAGGAAAACCAACTTTTCCCACGTAAAAAGATGGTTTTGGTCTGGACTGCCTCAGGAAAACCATCTTTTTGCGAGGTAAAAGTTGGTTTTTGGCTCCAAAACCATCTTTTACGAGGCAAAACCAAAAAACCAAAAAAACAATCTTTTTTTAGAGAACGGGGAGGGGATGTTGAAAAAGATGGTTTTGTTTTTTTGGTTTTGCCTCATAAAAAGATGGTTTTCCATAGAAAAACCAACTTTTCCCACGTAAAAAGATGGTTTTGGTCTGGACTGCCTCAGGAAAACCATTTTTTGCGAGGTAAAAGTTGGTTTTTGGCTCCAAAACCATCTTTTTACGAGGTAAAAGTTGGTTTTTGTGTCCAAAACCATCTTTTTACGTGGGAAAAGTTGGTTTTGCTATGGAAAACCATCTTTTTACGAGGCAAAACCAAAAAAAACAATCTTTTTCAAAATCCCCTCCCCATTCTCTAAAAAAAGATGGCTTTTTTGGTTTTTTGGTTTTGCCTCGTAAAAGATGATTTTGCAGCCAAAAACCAACTTTTGCCTCGCCAAAAGATGGTTTTCCTGAGGCAGTCCAGACCAAAACCATCTTTTACGTGGGAAAAGTTGGTTTTTCTATGAAAAACCATCTTTTTACGAGGCAAAACCAAAAAAACTATCTTTGTCAACAGCCCCTCCCCATTCTCTAAAAAAGATGGTTTTTTTTGGTTTTTTGGTTTTGCCTCGTAAAAGATGGTTTGGGAGCCAAAAACCAACTTTTACCTCGCAAAAAGATGGTTTTGGCGTGGTGTTCTTAAGGAAAACCATCTTTTTGCGAGGGAAAAGTTGGTTTTCCTATGAAAAACCATTTTTTTACGAGGCAAAACCAAAAAGCAATCTTTTTCAAAATCCCCTCCCCATTCTCTAAAAAAGATGGGGTTTTTTTGGTTTTTTGGTTTTGCCTCGTACCTCTCTCGGGCCAGAACCGTTCAGCTCTACATGTAGCTGTCCAGTGGACGGTTTTGGTTCGAAGCAAGACGTGTCAGCATGCTTGGAGGCTCGTTGGTTTTAGTCAGTCTTATATTAATCTCAGCAATAGCATTCCTATTCCTATTAATGTAAAAGGGTTCCTAACCACCTTTATAGGACTTCTTTTCATTTTACTTATATTCTTATGAACTTTCAGAGGGTTCTTATTCAACATCAGAGGATTCCTAATACTTTTCAATAGGGTTCTTATGCATTTCAACAAGGTTCTTAATCATTTTCAAATGGCCCTTTTAATTCCAACAGGGTTCCTCTGAAATTAAAAATCTTTTTAAGATTCATATTGGTGCCTATTCATTTTAGTGAGTCTCCAAGTGATTTTAATGGTATTCTTAGAAAATTGAAGAGCATTCCTCGCCCTATTAATTCTAACAGGAATCACATTAAGTCTAACAGGAAGCCAAGAAATTTTGAAAAGGAACCACATTGAATTTTGTAGGATTCCTATTGGTTCCTATTATTTTTAGTAGGATTCCTCTTCGTTTTTAAAGGATTCCTATCAATTGGTAATTGGGTTCTTATAAATTTTACTGGGGTTCCTAATAAATTCCGAGTAATGTCAAAGGGTTCCGAAGGATTCCTAATACGTTTTTGTAAACAGGGTTCTTATGAATTTCAACAAGGTTCTCAATCATTTTAAAGTGGCTTCTTTTAGTTTCAATAGGGGTCCATCTGAAAATGAAAAGGGCTCATACTTCTTTTTAGGATTCCTATTGGTTCCTATTCATGTTTGTGACTTGCAAAGCAATTGGAATGGTTTTTTCTGGAGATTTGAATAGCATTCCTGTCCCATTAATTCTAATAGGAATCACATGAATTCTAACAGGAAGCCTAGAAATCCGAACCACATTTATTTTTATAGGATTCCTATTGGTTCCTATTAATTTAGTAGGATTTCTCTTCATTTTCAAAGGATTCCAATAGGGTTCTTATGATTTTTAGTGGTGTTGCTTACAAATTCTAATTGATGGTGGGACCCTCTTCATTTAAAAGATTCCTCTTAATTTGTAAAAGGGTTCTTATGAATTTTAGTGGGGTTCCTCATAAATTGAATAGGATTCTAATTCATCATAACAAGATTAAGAGAAATATGAATAGAATATTTAGATTTAATGGAATTCCCACATTCCCGTGAATTCAAAAAGGGTCCCTTTTCATTTTCACAGGCTCCCTACTATTCTTCATGGGGGCCCTATTATTTGTCTACATTTTAATAGCATTCCCATGACGTTTGATAGGGAGTTCCTCTGACTCAAATATGATTCCAAGTCATTATTCTTATTGATTCAATAAAGAGTCTTATTCATATTAGTAGGGTTCGTATGAATTTCATAGGGTTTTCGTTCAATTAGGAGGGTTCTTATTAAATTCATAGCTATGACTAAGTATGGATTTCTTACTCCGACACGGCCTCACGGTGGGTCATGGGGGGGGTGTGAGCATATATATAAATATAAATATAAATATACATAGAGAGAGAAATACAAATATACATACATATGCATATGCATATAGGTAGGTATCTAGGTTTGGGATGTGACACATGCCCGCTGATTTGCAAGGGGACCCATCAGGTTTCGGAGGCTGGAGATGTCGCGCCAAAGATTTTTTGCGGCTCCATACGTGCGGCCCGCAGTGAGCACACAAAAGCAGAGCGACGTGGTGCACAAGTTTCAATGCTTTTTCCGTCTTGAGATGTTGCGAGCTTGGGCTGACAGGTGCGGGTAGCAGCTAATGTGTCAATCCCCTCGAAGCGCAAACGACCACAAGCACGTCTTGAAGCGAGCAGCAAGTTTGGTGGCGTGATGGGTCATAATCCTTGCAAACTATAGTGCATAGTGGCTCTTAGAAAAAGGTGCACCTTTTACAGCCAATTGTCGGCTGCGAGCCTCTCTGTCCAGTTTCAGGCCGGCGGGAAGCTAAGTGGGGTATCAGGATGACAGTGTATCAGGTGAACTTGAAACGAAGCCGATGGTCCAGATGCACAGAACACCCTGCTAACTTGACCCGACCCGCGGTGCAGATCAGGGGATGAAGTTTCAGACTGTTGAGGCAACGGCGGCTTCCGAATAGGGTCGAAGTTACTTGTCAGGATGTGGCATGATGTGGCGGCTCCTTTTTGGCATTCTCTGGCACTTCGCAGCATTTTTCGGCCCAAAATGATCGCAGGCTCGCTTCATGTGCAGTCCGAAAGACAATGATGCGCCTGTCGCACCATGGCGTTCGTGGCGTTGCTGGTGTTCGTGCCCCAAAACAGGTGGCATTGTGTGTGTCGTTGGCAGTGTGCTTGGGACACCACAGGGTTTTCATGCCACAATTCCTGAGCCCAACCAGGAGCCTTCGGCGGTCTGAACAAAGTAGCATGAGTTTTTGCAGCGCTGCTCAGCATAAGGTGCTATTCGCAGCGACACGTAGCCACTCTAGCTCGGCACCAGCCACGGCACAGCAGGTCGTCAGTGACGACAGTGAGGACAGCGAAGCAGCC